GGGGGAAAGAGAGAAAACGGGAGAAAGTATGCAAAAAATACATGAAGTATAAAGCTTGAGGAGCTTTTCATGCATTTTTACCTCTCCAGTTCTTGTTTGCAGAGAGGGCAGCAAGATATAATTCTAAGCCATTGGTCCACACACTTAAGATGAAATATATGAGAGCAAGGCAATTGTCTGATCTCTTCCTTATCTCCGTACTTTGCTAAGCATATACAACATTCCTGTTGTGACACAAAAACTTGTTTAGTCGTTGATTTCAACTTTTGTATATTGATAGTATAATTACAAAAAGGTCACCTAAACGATAGCATCTATAAAAAGTAAGATTTGTGATCTTAAAAGTAGGTCAGATAGCATACATTATTTAACCTATAAGTGTAAAAGTTATATAATCTTTGGACTTTGAGTTTAACATTTATACCTTAACAATTTAAAAGAAATTTTATACGATTAGGTCCTTAAAACATAACTAGGTTATCTCTTATGATAGGTTGTAAAACTTTTTTATACTGTCAGTATAGATAAGTTAAATATTTAGACTTTGAGTTTAACTTTATGCATTAAAAGTGTAAAAGAAGTTTTGCCCAATTTAAAAAACATAAAAGATAACTATAAAGCAAAATACTATACTGCGATCAATGCATATAAATTAAATCTTTAGATATTAAATTTAATTCTATAAATTGACATGGTACACAAATTTTACACGACTAAATCATCTAAAAGATATCTAGAGTCCATGAAAAATAGAATTAAAGATCACTTACCACATTTTCATTTTCATTTTCCACACCCGAATATTTGGGTTGTTCCTTTTTTCCACTTTCCTTGTACTTCCAACTGGGTAGACTGGAGAGTTGTTCATCAGAAGCCCCTCGATCTACGGATCCCATGTTCATGTTGTAGCCTAAAAAGCTACTCAAAATTGGGACACAGCAGCACAACAATAGAAACAATAGGAAGGGGAAAGAGTAGGCGACAGCATTCCAAGTAAGCAGTGAGATGCAGAGCAAGTGAAGTTTAGGAGCACGATGGTAAGACAGAAACCGCGATTCGAACACCCAAACATTCCCCATCACAAACCATATGGCAAAGAATAGCTCAACACCAGTCCTCAATATCTCCATCACATGCAATGCCCTATCATAATATTGTTGAAAATTTGCAAGTTTTAGTTTAATAATATTTATTATATATGCTTAAGGAAGAATGGATTTTTGCATTTCATATGATCAATTAGAGCGTGATAGAAGATATTTCATATGAATGGACCAAGAGTGGAACAGAGGGTAAAATTAAGCAATTTCAAATTATAACATAGGAGAAAATATGACATTTTCCTTTTTCTTTTTTTTATTAACGTCCTTTTCACATCCCCGCTCGAGTAACATTCAACCCTTCATATGTACAAACACTATCCAAAACATCTCTTTAGGCATCCATCCTTGGACAAAAATAGTATCAAACTTCAAGAGTACAGTAGAGACAGCTAAAAGGGAGGGACAGAATGTGTACTAATTAATCACCTGGAATATTCATCATGGCTTCTTTGTTGCTCCATGTCAGAATCATCTCTTTGTGGCCTCACATAGAATGCCCAGTAGCGCCAGTAAAGCAACATGACACTAATAATACAGCCAAAGGCATATCCCAACACCCATATCTTCATTGGCCAAACTGGCTTCTCTTCCTTTGAAACAGCCAGTGTATATGAGGCAATAATTATTTGGACACTTAATGCAATGCACTCCATCATCATCCAAGTCATTGAATTTAAGGGATTTGATCCAAGATCAGATCTTGAGCCATTCTGGTAGTGGAAAACCCTTCTTAGGAAACTAAACCACCTTGCTCTTGATATTCTCATCGCCATTCTTACTAATAATGAAGAAGGGAGAATAGACCTGTTTCTAGTTCCACCCACGCTAGACATTCTTTCATCTCCTGCTGCTGCTGAAATAATTGGTGGGAATGATACAATAATGCTCGAATGGCAAAGCGACACTGGTGTAAGAAAGTATCGTGTATTCATCGGGGAATAATATTTAGTATGGACCTGATCGATCTGTATTAGTAATAGGTGACTGTTATAATAAACACGATTTGATAACAACAAAAAGAAAGTAAATATAGTTAATATGCTACTATAACAAGTAAAATTACAGTAATAATGTAGACATTCTTTACACAGTCAGTGTATATAACTTAAATTCATACCTATTAACCGGGAGAAATTTCCAAGAACTTTCAACTTCTACGTATGCAAGTTATGTTTCATTTTAGCAACTGCATGGACAAGACACCTTGTGAGTGTGCACAGAATTCCCATGCTTAAAATGATCTAACACCAGCTAATTATTCAACCTATTTTATGGTCCAATTTCAATGTCACAATTTATATGCTGACTACTACTTTTGATCATTAACCTCCAATGCCATATTTCAAGAAATTCAACAGCAAGGATAACAGATAAATGAAGTGGCTGTACTATAAAAGTATGATAACGGTGAAAGAAAATAGATACAGAAAGAGAGAGATATGGAAATGGAAATAAAAAAAAAATGCTTAAGAAGAGAAAGAGGCGATGGGGTTGAATCAACATGACAGGGGAATCTGTTGAAGTCGGGTTCAGATGGTGACCAAGAATCGAACAGCTTTACTTTGATTCCAAGTGAAGTACTTTTATGAGATGGTGAGAACCATACCATTTGCCTAACTTCCTGCGACGTTAATTTAATTTCTTTTCTTTTTGTTTATTTAGGAAGCAAAGTAAGGCTGTAAGTTTGTAGTTCTTCAAATGGACATATACTCACGAATTGAATTGAATTAGAACATCGGCAAACGATAATTTACTTTTCTGACGTTAACCAATGGACGAGCCAGAATTTTTACTAAGGGGATGTATTGGTGGAAAAAGTCATGACACGTGGAACAACATTAAGCTGACGAGGCATGACGCGTGGAGTGTCGATATAGCTACAAGTGGCATTCTCAATTAACTGAATTAAGAATGCGCGGAAGATACGGGAGAAACACCCACGGGGTAGCATAAGAGAAAAGAACCGAGCCTGACAGTTGTCAAAGGAAAAACAGGAACGGAATGAATGAAGACTGCAAAGAAGGGAAGATACATGAACCAGAGATAAATAAGAAAGGAAAATCGGGAGCAATTATAAGGAATCTTTAGTCATAAATATGTCAGTTACGGTTATCTATAGTAATGGGCAATCAATACAGTTAATGCCCTTAATTAGTCCAAATTAAGTATGATAATAGTTACGATTGTATGCTCCTATATAAGGATGAGAATTCCATTTGTAAGGACGTGTGACGATTATTACTGAAAATCATACTACAAATCTTTGCTTACTCTCCAAATTTTCAACCTTGATTTTGGGAAGTATTTGTCAATTTATTCCTCATTTTTCTTTGTTAATTATTTCCATCATTTCTTTTATTTTTCTTAAGATTATTGAGAAAGTGAAGTAAAACTTGGTTATCAGTAACCCGTTTTCTTCTAGATATTGACTTTGACCGAAAAATCTATTTTTGATTAAACAAATTAGTTCCGTTACCGGGAATCTGATAATCTTTTCACTTTCTAAATTCTACTTTTTAACAATCAACTATGTCAACTGCTGACGAAAATAACCAGTTGAACCCACAAGGTGGAACTCCACCACTCCCTTCTCCAACGGGATCCCCTCAGCAATTCCGTGGAGGTTCACCTGAAAGGTCTACATCGCGCGCTGATGATCAACAAGGAGATGAACAAACTGTAGAGCAGGACGCTCTAAAGCAATTGATTGCAGAACACGTGAATTGTTCTCTACAAGCTTTTGTTAGAGGATTGCGCGCCACAAACTCCTTAAGAGGCAGAAATTTCCAAGAACTTTCAACTTCTACGCATGCAAGTGATGTTTCATTTTAGTAACTGCATGGACAAGACACCGTGTGAGTGTGCACAGAATTCCCATGCTTGAAATGATCTAACACCAGCTAATTATTCAACCTATTTTATGGTCCAATTTCAATGTCACAATTAATTATATGCTGACTACTACTTTTGATCAATAACCTCCAATGCCATATTTCAAGAACTTCAACAGCAAGGATACCAGATAAATGAAGTGGTTGTACTATAAAAGTATGATAATGGTGAAAGAAAATAGATACAGAAAGAGAGAGATATGGAAATGGAAATAAAAGGAAATGCTTAAGAAGAGAGAGTTTTGATGGGGTTGAACCAACATGACAGGGGAATCCGTTGAAGTTGGGTTCTGGTGACTAAAGAATCGAACAGCTTTACTTTGATTCCAAGTGAAGTACTTTTATGAGATGGTGAGAACCATAACCATTTGCCTAACTTCCTGTGACGTTAATTTAATTTCTTTTCTTTTTGTTTATTTAGGAAGCAAAGTAAGGCTGTAAGTTTCTACTTCTTCAAGTGGACATATACTCACGAATTGAATTGAATTAGAACATCGGCAAAAGATAATTTACTTTTCTGACGTTAACAAATGGACGGAGCCAGAATTTTTACTAAGGGAAGTCAAAATATAAAGAAATAAATACACAAAAAAATTAAGAGGATTACACATATAGTTTACAGATAAAAAATTTTTTACTTATCTACACAATATAATTTATGACACACTTTGGACAAGGGTGGCTCTGCCACTGGTTAACGCTTGTAAGGTCCATTTTTATTTTTAATTATAGAAATGCTAACTGATTATATTCGGATAGCTATATTATTTGGGGAGTAGTATTTAATTTGATAAAAAAAGAGTATTTTGGAAATGATCATGAGGAGTAACAATAGTTAACGGATTGACGATCATTTAGGATAGCAACTTTAGGATCATTTAGGATGGCAGATGGCCACCATATCAAAGTAGCAGTAAGAGCAACTTTAGCATCTGTGGCCAGCCACTGTCAGAGCTGGTACTTTGATATGTGCAAAACAACTAAATCCTAAGGAGTAGTTTTTGTTAGGTTAATTTTTCTCCAAACATACCTTATACATAACAATTTGCATTTATGTATAATTTCAGTTTGTGTTTATTTAGGAACGCTTGAAGGGATTCTCCAAGCTAGGCTATTTCTGAATATTTGTCATTCGGTCATGCTCAATCGAAACCGATATATATATTCTGACTTGTACATTTATAGGAACCTTCGAACTTAGCTTGTAATTAATATCCTACTAAAAGATCAATTCCCTACTTTGCTCGTAAAAAGTTTACCCTTTTAAAGGTTATAAACAAAAAAGACAGCTTAATTTGTTGTTCTTGAACATATATCAGCAATCACTATCGAAAGAACAACTTGCTTCGACTCGAAAATTATGATGCTTAGGTTTAAAGTTTTCATGGTTTTTGCAGAAAAACTATAGAGCGCTGGAGGGCCATGGTTGGTACTTGGAACTTAGTAGGGTAGACGTATCAAAATTACACTATTTTGACATCCTTAAATTAAGAAAGCTCAATTGTTCTCTATATACGTAGCATCAATAGGTTGGATCGTCAGCCTCACTAGCTTGTTGAAACGTTACATGGCTTCTCCAAACACCACCAATTATCCCACTGATATTTTATATGTCAATGCCACACAAGAGGGGGTGATTTGTGTGGTATCCAATTTTCGCGTGCACTGATTATAGAAGGACCTGGTTCTTCTAAGTATTCCTTAACCTACTGTTGCTGAAATAGTAAATACGAAAAGTAAAGAACACAAGTATTTTTATGTGAAAAACACCCGGCTCAAAAGGTAAAAAAAACTACGACCTACTACTCTGTAGGATTTTTCCCAACACTTCACTAAATTACTAAGCCAAAACAGCATTTACAAAAACTCTTTGTAAACCTAAGGATTACCTCTAATCCAGTTGTGGCAACCAGTCTCTAACTGTTGCGACAACTTCAAGTTAACTCTAACTTGAATACTCAGAGTACCTATTACAATTGCTTCTAGATAAAGCTGAAAGGTACAATTTGAAAACCACCTACTACAATTGAACTAGAATAAAAGACAGACGCTTGGAACCAGTTCTTCTATCTGGTTCATGTAGCTTCAGGTTCGCACAGTTGAATCACACAAGAATTGCTTACAAAATGCCTTGCTATTTTGCTCTCAACTCACGTTTAACTTCTGCTTTTGTGCGTGCCTGTAGAATGAGAACATCCTGCAAGATATAGAGTTAGTAGAATAAGAAACAACTAGAGTTCTAATGCTACTCTTCCTTGGTGGAAGAGTTCTAGTTATCCTCAACTTCTAAACCCTCCCTTATCTTGGATAGTGTTCTCTTTGAGTAAGGAGTCATTTTCCTTATCAATTATGCAACATTTTCGATAAGGAGATATCTGATATAACAAGTTAAGCTTATCTCATTCACGTGCATTCCTTATGCTAGAATCTGTCCGTGTTTGTGTACACAGGGGATGGACCTGGTTCATGCCTAAGCTTCCTTTGTCAATCTTCAAAACAAAACTTCTCTTGGGCCAACGAATTCCCCCTTTTTGATGATGACAAACTCTGTGCTTTTCATAAGCTTAGACCTTGTTTCAACTCAGCTCAACATCAACACAATGTTAGAACATTTTACCTTTTTAAAGTCACTTGTCATCAAGGACCAGGTTCATTAGGTTATAAACATCATTGTCCAAAGTGAAAGCACAACCTTTTTCCCCCTTTTTGCATCATCGAAAAGTTGCATAATAATGTTAGATAACCTGATTTTAAATAGAAATTACTCATGGCCACCGGGACTACATCACATGCAATCATGGAGTCAAATATCATCAATCAATCTAAGGATATTAGCCATCTAAGAAATATCAACAAACAATTATAGCAAAAGCAGTGAATTTCATTGATTGATAAGATCCTACCACAAAGCATAAGAAGAAATAAAAATACCGGATCATGAGCAAAAGAAGCAAAAACAAATCCCGAACTGGGTCACTGGTTGATCTACACTAGGCTAGGAAGCTTAAGGCTGGGAAGGAGTAGGTTATTGGTTTTGGGTTTGGAGCAGTTTCAGCATATCCTGAAGAATACTATCATTCTTCTCCTTTTCTTTTGCCAACTCAGCTCTGAGAGTATCTCTCTCAGTCTCCATCTCTGCCAACTTCTTCTTTAGCCTATCAATCTTAACATCCTTAGCCCCACTTTCTTGCATCAAAGTTCGCACTTTGCTGTTCACCGGTATCTTTTTGGATGAACCAGGTTCTTTAGGAGTGGTTTGGACTTCATAGTCACAAGCATTTAAAGTGTTTGCCCCAAAATGATCCTTGCTTGTACCAACTTCCCATTTCTTGATGGGTACCTTGAAGTGTGCAAGTACAGCAGTGAGAATAAAGCCATAGGGTATGGCGTAAGTCTTGGTGCCATTTAGAACCCTGTCAAGAAGCCGGATGATAAATCCATGCCAATTGATTTGCCTCCCACTTTCCAAATATTCCATAAGGACCAGGTCCATGAATGTGGCAATGTGCCTCTTTTCTTGCCTTGGCAGCACACATTT